CACACACGCATGCACACACTCACATGAGCACCAGAGCACACTCACACACGCATGCACACACTCACATGAGCGCACACACACCTTATAAATGAAGGAATGAAAACTTACATTTCTGGACAATTTTGAAAGAATGTGGAAAGCAGAACAACAACAAGATTTGGACACATTATTATAGAGAATATTACTTTCAAGGCAAGCAAGTCAAACTGGGCGGGCCATCACTCTCTCCATTCAAAGGGTGGCCATGTGTTGCCTCTCTGCTTGAGAGAATGCCATTCTCAGAATGGCATTTTGGGGTTTTATGGATTTTTTTTTCCTCCAGAAAAGTGTTGGCTCACCTTGTCTTGCCCTTTAACCCAGTAGCATGATAGAGCATGATCCCCATCAGCTTCATGATGGCAGCAATGACTGCCTGTGCCTACTGGCACTTCCTACAGTGTCTTGGATCTTGGGCTTCAGGGCAGTAAAGGGTTTGTCCACCTTGTGGGAGTGTGTTCAGAAATGCTGTTGAGACGTTATAGTTCTGGTTTTAACTGTTTACATGCTGCACCTAAGGGTTTAATGAATGCCTATCTCTGTATTTTCTAGACCAAATGATCATGTTCCACCTTCAGGATGTGGGCTGTAGCTTCCCTTTGTGCCGTTTACCACTGGGTGTGCTTACGGAGGCTCATTTCTGTAACTGAAATAAATCCACTTAGGAACGCTCACGACACTGCTAGAGATGTAAAGGTAGACTTGCTCCATAAGAGGTGACAACCAGAAAACAGGACAGAGCAAATGAAAAACCATAGTACACCAACAAGATGGTGGAGTGGGCTATTCTCCACAACCCTCACAGCAAAGGCCCCGCTTCTCTGACTGCCGAGGGCACTAGCATTTTCCTCCCAGGTACTGATGTGACACCTGAGGGGTTTGCACCCTTTTCATTCCTTGTCATTGCTTCACATTTCACAAAACCATGTTCCAGAAACTTCGGACGTTCATCTCCTACAGCTATTGACTACACTAGTGCTCCCTGAATGGGCTCTTCTGCTATGGAACTCCTGGGGGAGAGATAGATCACTGGTTAAGAGCCCTGGCTGCTCTTCCAAAGGATCCAGGTTCAAATCCCAGCACCCACATTGTGGCTCATAACTGCCTGGTACAGTACTCTCCTGAGAAAGGAAAAAGCAGACACCCAACAATGGGGGCCCCTTATAAGCAGCCAAAGAAAGTGGGGCATTCCTTTGTCAACTTTGTTTTTTCTCTTTTTAGTTTACAGAAAACCAACATTTTTTGTGCCTCCCCTGCCCCCATCACACAAATATTATATGATGTCATGAAAAATCCAGGAGTAATGATTCTGAACCTGTGTGTTAATATAACTCTATTTCATCATCCCAGAACTCGATTCAAAGAGGTGAACTTGAATGTCTAGAATGGCAGGCAGAATAGGAGGACATCAAGGTAGCTTGGAAGGCAGGACTAGGATCATTTACCAATCCAGTATCATCACAGAGCAGGATACCTGGCATCCTCCTCTGGCTTCTGCAGGCATGTGAATGTGGACTTGCATCTGCACACACATGCACACATGCACCAGAAATGAAGTCCTCAGATGATGATGGACATGCCTAGCTGGAACTTTCTGTTGCAACTGGGTTCCTTTTTGTGTATGCTTATATATGTGCATGTGTGTGTTTGTGTGCACATGTATGTTCATGGGTACTTGTGCCTTTGTATGTCCACAAGAAGCCAGTGGAGTTTGTCAGGTATCCTGCTTAGAGACCTTTATCCACAGTTTTTAGTTTTTTCCATTTTATTTCTGTAAAAGAAGTGCTGGCTAGATCGGAGACTAATTCTATTTCCTTGTTTCACTTCTGACCAGGCAGAAAGCATAGAGAAAGCTAACTCACAATGCTCAAAATACATCATTAAATAAAATACTCTTGTGTGAGTGTTACTGGACAATCATCAAGGTGCTTTGTTTCCCTGTTAAAACTCAGAAATTGCTTTTGTGGATCAATCTACTTGTTTTCTGATTATTCAGGCA